ATCCTGTCGCTGACGATTTACAATCTATTGTTTTTGGCTCTGTTATCTCTTTCTTTCTATCATTATCATTACTACTACCACTACAACCACTACTACCATTATTCTTATTTCTCAATATTATCTGAAATATTCATCCTCATGCCAATTCAGTTCACAATCTCCTTTATATTCGATAGTATCACCTGCTTCCACGTCACTGGGTCAAAGTAAGGAGACGCCCTGAAGCGATCCGGATTTATCAATACCTCAAAGAATGATAGATATGGCGGGTTGTCTTTCAGGCTTCGATAGATACATGAGTAGTTCAAGAGGGTCTAGAATTCGCAATTTCAATGTGCATAAACTAGATATAAATAAGTAAGATAAACAGAGATTAATCTAAGAATACCTTACCCAAGCTAAGACCTAACAAAGGATAACAGATACTCAGATAGATCTTGGTACTAATAATAATTAGTTAATTAATTATCCCATTTTTAGCTGCTCCGCGGTTAGATATAAGAGAATCTTACATCTAACTGTTAACCGTTCGGCAGGTAGAAATTTGTCCCTTAACCTACCCCTCCCTGGCCGTTAACCACTCTAAGTATAATTATATGTCTGGTGCTCAGGCCGCCCACAAATAATCTCTTACTTTATTTCACTAGAATACCTAGATAGCTACTAATTCAATTCACACTTTTACTACAATTTCGCGTTCGTTTGCTTGCTTTTCTATTGTTTCGTTGCTTTGCTAGTAATCTCGCGCCTCGACACTTTTCGTACTAAGCAATCTGCAAACTGAAGTTTTGGCGGATTCAGTTTTGCACCTGCTTCAAGAAGCATTTGCACTATGCTCTGATGCCCAGCGTACAACGCAGCTCCCAGAGCACTGTGGTATCTCCCACGAGACTGTTCCCAGAAATTGTTAGCTCCATAATGAATAAGTACGTCCACAGCCTTTCCATGACCTCCAAAAGCAGCAGCTTGCAGTGCATCACCGAAATGACCTCCGTACCCTTGAACATCAGCTTTGTAAGCAAGAAGGAGCGACATTATCTCTATGTTGCCGCGGCTTGCAGCAGCCTGAAGGGCATCTCCCAGCTCATGATCTTCTTCGTTTGGATCTGTACCCTTCTCAAGCAGACATTTAGTGATTTCGAAATTGTTGATGATGACAGCTGCGCGAAGAGGAAAGCCGTATCGTCCTCGAAGCTTGATATTAGCTCCAGCATCAAGAACTAGCTGTACTATTGACAGCTTCTCACTTGCAATAGCAGCCGCGAGCGCATTGCTAAAGAAACCTTTTTCCTCGTTTATGTCGGTGCAGCTTTGCAATAGCAGCTTTGCTCTCCTCATCTTGCCTCCCGCGAGGGCTATTTGAAGGGGATCAGGCCTGATTTCTGGAGCAAAGTCTCCAACATCCCCTGCCATAAGCCGCTGGAAATTTGGAATATTCCCTTTGAAAGCTGCGGTCTGTATGGCATCATCGAATTGCTGCTGTGTAGTAAGCTTGACCCCAGCATCAAGCAGGAGTTCTGCAACTGCATTGTTATCACTCGCCAAAGCCGCCTGCAGGGGACTGTAATATTCCCCCCTTCTGGGCACAGAGGAAGAGGCGCCATGATGGATCAGAAGCTGCACTATTTCCGTCAACCCCCAAAAACACGCCGCTCGAAGTGCATTCTCGTACTGAAACCCCGGTGCGTCTATATTGGCTCCCAGGTCTAGGAGCTTCTGAACAACCATGATGTGGCCACCACGAGCTGCCAGGTATAGCCCAGAGCTTCCATCTTTGTTTGTCTGGTTCACATCCAAATCCTCAACATCATTGTTATTCTCAGGCATTTCCACGAATCCAAAGCGGCAGATCAAAAATAGCGGTGTTGGTGGAGTGCTTATTGAGTCATCAAGCTTTCTTTCATTTGTAGATTTCTACCTAGAACTGCCTTCTCTCTGCTGTAGCTCGAAATTGTCCAGCCAGTCATCAAAGTGCTCTTCTTTTGTAAAGAAGTCTGTGAGACGAGGAACAACTTTGGCTCTTTGGGGTGCACACCCAAGGTCCTCCACATGAGATGGCCAATAGTTTGTAGCGTATTTGAGAAACCCATTTTCACCACAATCTTCGCCCAGATATGCACCCAGGCACCTCAGGGCCATGCTATAGCACACTTCTTTATCGCGATAGATCTCAACGGATTCGAGATATCTGTAGATTGTGTCAGCTGCTACGATTTGGGTACAGGCTGATCTAATGATAATTATTCTCGAACCGTCGGATGAGCGAGCCTGAACGTATTTGTTTCGTTATCTATCACCACCAAGCCACAGCAGTAATCAATGATGGTCCCCGATTGCAGAGTCGACAAGCACCTTGCCGAACGTGCTACGGCGATAAGAAAATCTGGGATAGGGAGCATTCGTTTCGCACCCAGAAGCCAGTAAAACGTAAATCTAGCCACTTCTCTGGCAGTTACCTTCATTGACTCAATTCGGCAATGAATGGCGGCGTAGGATCGACCAAGCGTTGCAGGTAGTAGTAGTAGTTAGTAGTAGTAGTATTGATAATGATAGGAAGAAAGAGATAACAGAGCTAAAAAAAAAAAAAAAAAAAAAAAAAAAAAAAAAAAAAAAAAAAAAAAAAAAAAAAAAAAAAAAAAAAAAAAAAAAA